AACATTTTTTAAATAAATGTTGCTAATGTCACTTTTTACAACGTTTTATAAATATTGCGAAAAGTTTAAGTTTTTGCAGTGTTTTTTGAACGTTGTTGAAATCTGGCTCTGTAGTAACGTGGGCCTATTGTTGAAACTCTCAATATAAAACTTTTTGCAACGTTTTGTAATTGTTGCTTAATTTTTCGTAATGTTTATAAATGTTGTCAAAAGTGATCTTTTCACAATAGTCAATAAATGTTGCGAAAAGTTCACTTTTGGCAATGTTTTTTTAACGTTGTAAAAAGATTCTTTTTGCAACGTTTTTTTAAAAAAACGTTGCGAAATTTTTTTTTTTTCCCAAATTAAATTATATATGAGCTAGAAACCAAAAATAACCCAAACTTAAAAAACGTTGCGAAAAATTGTGCTTTTTTTTTTTTCCAAAATTAAATTATATACGAGCTAGAAACCAAAAATAACCCAACTAATTCACTCCTCCCTCCATTCATTCCTCTCCAACAAAATCAAGGATCTTTGATTTATTGAGCTATTCTTTCCAGTTTGGCCGATCACTGCTAGCACAGGAGGATTCCAAAAAGGAAGAGATCGCCGCCGACACCGAAGGATGCCAAGAAGTAAGAAAAGTGGTGGTCAAAGAATAAAAAAAAAAGAAGTTCTCCAGTCGATTGCAAAATTCCTCGTTGAGCTTTCGAAATAACAGGATGTTGTAGCTGGAGATGGGACGAACACTGTTTTTGTTATAGCGGGCGCTCGTTTGAAGGCATCTCTTACTCTTTTATCTCCTGGCATTCACCCAACGGTTGTTTCAGATGCCCTCCACAAGGCTTGGATTAATGCTGTTGAGATTTTAAGGACTATGGCGATTCTTGTGGAGTTATCGCATCATGATTCACTGGTTAAGTCAGCCTCTACTTCTTTGGATTCCAAGGTTGTCTCAATACTCTTATCTTTTAGCCCCATTAGCTCTTGATGTTGTGCTTTCTGTAGTGGACCCTACTGTTGGAAATAAATGAAAATCTG